TGTGGAAAGGACACATCTGTTTTCTTCACTATTACCATTGATGTAAGCAAATTGGGAAAATTTAAAAAGTGACCACTAAGACTTGCTCTAGGATTTTCCATTTTGTTAAGAATTTCAGGATAATTTCCAAAATGCTTTTTTTTTACTCACTAGTGGAAGCTAACTCGCCATGAAGACAAAAAGTATACCTAACAGACGTAGGACATTGACCTGTTTTTTCTTCCTATGATTTTGGAATTCCATAGTGAAATGGGAGAGAGTCCTTTGGCAAGGTGGCACACCTGTCTCTCTGAAGGAGTGAGTGCGTGTCCTCCTCTTGGCTTCTTAGGTCCCATTTTTGTGTGAAAGCCTTACACATAAGATAACAGAATTGAGGAGATTCTGTCCCAAGTTTTGCATTTGGCAAACAGGGCTAACCATGCTCATTTCATGTATCTTTACCTTTTCTCATTCTGCACAAATCCTGACAATGAGAACTCAGGATGTAAACACTTTCTGACTTGGAATCATGCTGTAATAGCCTTCTTTAGGAAACTCAGATATTCTTTTCAGAGGCTTATATGTGATTCATTGCATTCTGAGTTTCTTCAGATGCTTTATTTCATTACTGATTTTTCAGCTTCTTTTATGACTAAGTAATATAAGTTTGTTATAGGACCTTTGAAAAGTATGACAGCAGGCGAAAGTCATCCATATCCCCTATCCAGAGGCACATACTTATTCCCTGCAGCTACTTAAGAGGTGTGGCAATTAAAATGCTATGCAAAATGTTTTATGGATGGAGAAACTCCATTTCAACAAGCTCATCTTGTTTTTTCAAATGCGCTGTTTGTGTTCACATAACTCGTGTGGTCTTTGAAATCTGGGACTTCTACTGGTTTTCTTTGAATACAGATTATTTAAAAATTTTACATGGCCTCATCAGCAAAGTATTTTGCCTGAAGTTATTTCTGAATTTCAAGAACTTATTTAATTAATTGCATATCAATTTCTAAATTATTCAAAAAGTAACAGAAAGATTAAGACATGGAAAATCAGTATTAAACAATGGTATAGGCTTTTCCTACTTTATAAGTCAGTGGCAATGTTGAATTTGCTAAGTATTGACATTTTGTCCTTCCCTTCTTCCCTCCCTGTCTACTTCCTCATAGTATAACTCTTTAATCAAATTTATATACTCTCTGAAAATAGGAAATCTCTAAATCTGCCTATAATTAGAATTATTAAAAACCAGAGTGTTGGCTATTAAAAACAAATATAAGAAGTTTATAGCCATGCAACACAATACTTAAAATATATTCTCTCATGTGCACTTATCCTAAGTGATATTGGCTTTTAAATTAGACGAAAATTAATAATTTACTTAAAAGTAAAATAGTATGTCTTTATCTTTTTCTTTTATACTGTTTTCTGAAGAAGAGGTAGAAGTTTTACTTCACAAGTTTCATTCTAGAGAAGATGTTTTCTTATGTGTGCTGTCTGCATCTAAAAGATAAGCATTCCAGATGTTGTCGTAGCTACTAAGAGAAGAATGGGTCTTATTTTAATACATGCAGTATGGTAAGTATTTATGCTAATTTTTCATAAAACATTCAAAGAAAATGTTAGACTATCCCTTGTCATCAATGTGAATTTGAGTTTCAGGGCATTATGCATTTTAAAATTATGTATGTTGAAACATTCTAGCATCTAATATTGCTGACTCTACTGCCTTTTTTTTTCTGCTTGTGTATCCTTGGGCTTCTAATGGAATGCAAAGAAGAGAGGGAAGAAAGGGCGTTTAATGAATCACAAGACCATGACTTGGAAATGTGATTACGTCTGTGCTGACGAACAAAAGCACAGGAAGACTCTACTTCAATGGCATGTGATTAAGACTGGCATAGACTAACCATTATCAATTGCCCACATGTTTCCAAGGATGGGTCCTGTTTGTCTCCAGCGAATCCTGGTGTCCCGGGTTAGCGCTGCGTTAGGAAGGGGGATCGTTATTCGGTTCCACCTGCAAGAAATTTAGCACAAATCAGCTCCACACACTGTTCACATCTTTTCAATTTATTTTACATGCTTTTGATGTTCTAGTTTCTGTGTGCCTGCGAGTAGCACTAAAGTTTGATAATAAACTTCTTTTTTAAAAAAATTAAATTTTTTATTGTTAAAAGTATTGCATATGTCTCCTTTCCCTGGCCACTCCTACCCCCCAGCACATGCCCTCACCCCACTACTGTCTGTGTCCATTGGTTATGCTTACATGCATGCACACACGTCCTTTGGTTGATCTCTTACCCCACCTCTCCACCTTCCCTCTGAGATTTGACGGTCTATTCAATGTGATAATAAACTCTTTAAATTTGCTTGTGGAGTTTATTTGTTTATGGTTTTAAAACAAACATGTCACTTATAAAAACATCCATATCATCCATATACATTCTTAATAGCAAATGATATCATGTTTTTAGACATTAGTTTTAGAAATTTTTACATGAATAGTTCAGAGTTAAATAGTATCTATAATAATAAAAGTATAATATGCTAATTAGACCGGATGTAAGGACTACCTTCCGAACGAAGCCACAGTGGCAGGAGCGAGGCAGAGGCAGCTGCTGCAGTGGGCAGGGGCCGAGCTCCTTGTACAAATTTTGTGCATCGGGCCTCTAGTTCTGTGGTAAGTATCTGTGCAGAGATGGGGTGTCCTCTAGCATTGATTACTTTTTATTTTTTGCTCTCCCTTAGTCCTATGCACATTTAAAGAGACGCTAAGCAAGAGAATAATCTTCAACTTAATTTTCTCTCCTTGGGAATGTTTTTACTATTTATCTAGTGCTTATTCTGTAAAATGGCAAGTGTTTTACATAGTCATCTTTAACTCTCTTAACTGCCCCCAAAGGGGTGTATCATTTCCCTTAATTTATGTGGAAAAAGCAGAAAGTTAGAAAGAGTAAGTATCATTACACAAGTAGATGGCAGAATCAGGACTTGAACCTAGGTTTGTTTCCAAAGCTAAACTTTCACTATCCATGTTGCACTGTTCCATAACTAAGTATTTCGGCAATAAGCCTTCTGGCAATAACCACATAATCACTATACAGAATTTGAATTTATGTAATCCAAAATATAACAGCCAGGTACATAAAGAATGAATGATCCTACCATTATCATCTTACATCCGATATACCAAAGTTCGTCTTTTTTTCCTTTTCACAAGATCACTTCTAAATCAGCTGAAAAAGAGAGGTCAGCTTCCATGCTTATTAAGTAAAAAATACTAGTCTCAGGCTTACTCGCTGATTTTGAGTCTGCAACATGGCTTAAAGTCTCTGGATAGCTCAGAATTTACTCACCCACTGTAGTTTTCAGAGGAGTAGATGGTGCTGTGGGGGAGGTGGGGTCCAGCACAGATCTCAGGCAAACATTCAGTGTGCAGGAGGGACCAGGAACGCCCATGGTTGGTGGAAAACTCCAAGCTGACACTGATAACACCAGAACAAGCACAACACGGAAGAGGAAAATATAACAAATAAAATGTAATTACCTGTTTCTTGTTAAGTACATCAGTCATCTATAGAACTAGGGTAAAAGTTTTTAAGATGCTGCTTCTGAAAATATTGTTTTCCCCTCCACTGAAGTCTGACCAGCTTTTAAAGGGCAAGCAGTTACATTACTGCTAGAGAAACAACCTCTGTTTGAAAGACAACAAATGGGCACTGGCGTTTGTGCTCCTGAGTTTGATAGATGGCAAGGCAATTACCATGTCTCACACTGCCGGCACTTCAACCCGTGAATGTGAACGACAAAATCTGAGGAAGGACACGAGCAACACTTCAGCAAGTGAAACTGAGAAATCATAGCTGTTGAAGTGCTAATTGATTTCTGTTCCTATTATTAGGGGGTCACTAACCAACATGAGTTCCAGCTTTTTTTAGTTTTTTGTTTTCTCTTTTCTCTCAACAATCTGTCAGAATGGATGGCGGCCACAGCACATGCAAGCTCCTCTGATACCTAAGACCAAGCTCTTAGAATAAAATTATTCCTATTTGAAATCTATCCAATCATGCTCTGTGTTAACTGAAGAACTTTTCAGTTCATTAATGGGTAGTTTATTAAAAATCCAGCTGAAAATCTACTGAGAAGTTGCTCTGATTTAATAGTCAAGTCGATGTGTTCCTTTTTAATTAGTTCACACACTCAAAAATAGGGCTTCCTACCTGTTACCAGGTTGATGGGTTCCACATCCCAGATTAATGGAAAACTGTATCATGTGTGACATCGTAGAAGGGAGAACAGGTAAGATGTGGAAAAAATCTACGGCCCAGACATTCGTATTATATCCTTGATGGTTCTTTTGCTTGAGACAAAATTTAGTAGCAGGCGTCTGAAGTTCAGGATTGATGACTACAGAAACCAAAGATGGAACCTTCAAAACAAAGGAAACCAAAATCACTCGTAATCCTCCCTATGTGGGTCTGTGAAAATTTTCCTAGAATCAATCTTGCAATTACAATGTATATAACTGCCATTTTTAGTTTTTATATTTTTATTGATTTTGGAGAGGAAGAAAGAGGGAGAGAAAGATAGAAACATCAATGATGATAGAGAATCATTGATCGTCTGCCTCCTGCAGGCCTCCTGGGGATTAGGCCTGCAACCTGAGCATGTGCCCTGACTGGGAATTGAACCCTGGTCTCCATCCAGGTTCATAGGTTGACGCTCAACCACTGAGCCAGGAGTCCGCAAACTTTTTAAACAGGGGGCCAGTTCACTGTCCCTCAGAACATTGGAGGGCCGGACTATAGTTTAAAAAAAAACTATGAACAAATTCCTATGCACACTGCACATATCTTATTTTGAAGTATAAAAACCAAAATGGGAACAAATACAATATTTATATTAGCATGTGGCCTGCGGGCCTCAGTTTGAGGACCTCTGCACTGAGCCATGCTGGTTGGGCTAACTGTCATTTCTTAAAAATCCTCATCTGAGCCCTAACTGGTTTGGTTCAGTGGATAGAGCATTGGCCTGTGGACTCAAGGGTCCCGGGTTCAATTCCAGTCAAGGGCATGTACCTTGGAGGTGGGAACATCCCCAGTAGGGGGTGTGCAGGAGGCAGCTGATGGATGTTTCTAACTCTCTATCCTTCTCCCTTCCTCTCTGTAAAAAGTCAATAAAATATATTTTAAAAAATCCTCACCTGAGGATATGTTTATTGATGTGTGTGTGTGTGTGTGTGTGAGCGAGAGAGAGAGAGAGAGAGAGAAACATTAATGTGAAAAGAAACATCAGTCGGTTGTCTCCCATACATGCCCTGAGCGGAGATGAAACCCACAACCTTTTTGGTGTATAGGATGACACTCCAACCAACCAAGTCACCTGGCCCTCTCTTCCTGAAGATAAGCTGATATAAGATCTTTAAAAGTTATCAAGACATCTGTATCCATGTCCATGTCACTTTTAAAGTAATCTGGTAATTTCCTGGGGTGCTAGAAGAGAAAGTTATCCTCTGTATCTAACTTGGTCTAACTTGATGTTGAACTTGACCTCTGGGGTGGGGCCATCTGGCAAACAAAATGGCATGTATACCTTATATGAGGAATAAGAAAGGGTATCCAGTGTAGTATGTTCTTTTCTTCCTTCAGTCTTTGAATACAGGATGATATCATTTTCATGAGAATCTCCAGGGTCACAAATTCCTCCTGCACAAAATAAAAATTTTAAGTTGTTAGTACCAACATGCATCCATAAATACGTCAAATCAAATATAGTGTTAAACTTCAGAATATATTTATGGGGCCCCAATGTCACTTAAGAAAAACCTTAAACAAAGGTATTCAGACGCAAAGAAAAAAACTATGAAGATAGTTCAGATAGGACATGCCAAAGATCAAAGACGACATTTGTGAAGGCCAAAATAAATATCTGCTTGATGAGATTACTAAACTAATATTCTATAACAAGCTATGACTTCATGTCCATATTTTAACCCACATTAAAATGGTATGGGGGGGTAATAGGGAGAAGAGGACACATATGTAATACCTTAGTCAATGAAGAAATTTAAAAAAATTAAAAATATTGTCTAAAAAATGGTATGCTACTTTTCAATAAATCATTTTTTCCTTATATTTAAGGTCTTTATGGCCAAAATTTAGAAACTACTGATTATAGTTTAAAAAAAGAAGTGTGGTAACTCACTGCATCAAAGATTTCTAAAATAATGCTATTTAAACTGTTGCATTTATTATCTCCAATATTTTAGCACATATGAGGAGTTTATGTTTTAAATGTAGTTCTTTTACATTTTTCAGTTTTATTTTTGGTACCTCATTTGATTGTTGTAAAGTAGAGAGAGCAGTTTATTCCTCATCACTCTACTCTGGAGACATAGGAAATGACTGAATACCAGGATTGAGAGATAATTAAGAGAATCTTGATGATGAAACTGAATAAGAGAACAGGTTCCTGATAATGAAGTGGTGGAAAAGCCATGTGTTGATCTTATGTCATTTAGCCCTTGAACCTCTAACCTTCTCATTACTGCCATTCGGCCAATAATCTGTACTATTTGCTGTATTCTAGCAACTGTTGACATCACCTGAATTTGAAAGGATTTCATGTCTAACTAGAAGTCTCTCCCATGTACCATTATCGTTCATTGTAATACCAACCAGAAAAGCAGGAGTGAAATTGGGGAGAAATCAGTATGTAATATTAAGTAAGAAAGCTTGAATCTAATCAGTGTAAGAACATAAAAGCAGAAGTAACTTGGATGGTGGTATTTGTGGAGCATTGAAATCTGACATGTTATATATGCTAACTTATGTAACTTGGCATATTGTAAATATTTAGTAAGTTGAGTAATCTGAACTGAGAACGGAGAAGCCAGATATAGTGATAGTGTGGCCCTCATTCTGTAAAGAAAATATTATTTTTGACATCTGATATTGTATTTTTTAGCATTTTATTATATAATTCTTCTAAAACTTTTTATTTACTTTTTGATGTTAGAGAGAGAAAAGAAGGGATAAAGAGAGAGAGGGAGAAACATCAATTTGTTGTTCCACTTATATATGCATTCATTGGTTGACTCTTTTTTTATTTTTTTAAATATGTATTTTATTGACTTTTTACAGAGAGGAAGGGGGAGGGGTAGAGAGTTAGAAACATTGGTGAGC